TTTCCCTAACAGCTTGATATAATCACAACTGCACCCAAGGATGAGATCCCAGCTCCCATCTGAAGCAGTACTTGCCTGGGAAAAAGCCCTAGGGAGACTGGTGAAGATGAGAAACACAGGCAACTTCATGCTACAAGCCTGGAAAACTCACGCTCCCTCCCTGCTGTTGGTGTGAGCAGAATTTGAATTATCCTCCTGAAAAAAAAAAAAAGTATCAGTGGCTGAGATTCCGGGTTTGGACATTGGAGATCCCTCTGTCTCAGATCTGCTCCACCTTGACCTTAAATGTGCTGCAGTCAGGTGTCTCAGCTGGTAAATGATTTTCCAAAATTGTCCCTTGGAGCCATGAATCAAAGCTCTAAGAGCAAAGAGAGCAAGATAAATCACAAAATGAGAGATCAATATGGGTTATTTATTAGAGACTCCACAGTGCCGGCTGGTGTTCCAACAGCTCTATGTGGCATGACCCAGTAAATTAGAACCATCACAACCTGGGAAATTATGTAAAATAGGAGAGATAAAAGAGAGGCTTTATTCATAAAGAAAACCATTTAACATTACTTAGTACACTGAAAAATTGGAAAATTGAGAATGTTTAAGTAAATTGTATATATATCTTCATCCACTAACCAGAATGGATTACCACTTAAAAAGTTAGCTGTGAACTTTATGTTATAACAAGTAAAAATGCTTCTGGTTAAAGAAAAGAAAAACTAAAAGAATTGTATATACACTATATTTAAAAGGAAAAAAAAAACTCTAATACTTCCAAATCATGTACTACTATTAGAGGAATAATATAGAATTTTTTTTCTCCTGCAACATTTCCGTAATGTGGTTGGATTGCTTCTAAAATGAGGTGTGTATGTGTCTGCGTGTGTGCATATGTGTGTGTGTTTAATTAAGAAACAAGGAAAAAGGGAATGAAGAATGGTAGTCCTTGAAGCTCCAAAAATTACTATTTCCTGTTATGAATAGGACACCCAATCAGAATGTGGCCATTTGGCTTTATGCCCAGAATGACAAAAACAGAGGTACAGTATCCATTAGGCAATATACTTAAGATATATATATATAACATCATAATTTCATGTAAAAAGAATCTCAAGTTTATTCATTGTGATCTCATCATGAGATATTCATCTGCCTACTGATATTGAATGAGAAATTAATGATAGAGGTCATTTCTCTATTGACTAGAAGAATCAGCTCAGATGTAGGTAGCATATTGTAAACACACAAAGAAAAAGGACTATTCAATGTGAATATGGCCAGGCACAGTGGCCCACACCTGTAATTTCAGCAGCTTTCCCGAGACTGAAGCAGCAGGATCCCAGGTTCAAAACCAGCCCAGCAACTTGGCAAAGCCCGTAACTCAGTGGGACCTTGTCTTTAGATAAAATATAAAAAAGGGACTGGGAACGTGGCTCAGAGGTTAAGCAGCCCTGGTTTCAATCACCAGTTCAAAAACAGAGAGAGAGAGAGAGATTGTTTCTAGAATGGTTTAATTTTTAATAATGTACAGTTAAATCTTTTTTTACCCCTGTACCAGGGATTTAAACCCAGGAGAGCTCTACCACTGATGCACATCTCCAACATTTTTTATTTTTTTGAGACAGGGTCTTGCTAAGTTGCTGAGGCTGCCTTGAACTTGCAATCCTCCTGCCTCCGTCTCCCAAATTGCTGGGATTACAGGCATGTGCATCACCCCAGCCCTGTAGTTAAATCTTTAGATCATCCTTTCCCAAACTTCTCACATCTGATTTTAAAAATATAAAACTGGATTTTTAATTGCTGCAAAAGCTTCTGTCCTCTCAATCTAACCACTTGTCCTTTAAAAGAGATATTCATGATTTTAAACAGGTGAAAATATTGGGACAAAGAAGGAAGACAATGTTTTCTCAATACCAAAATTATCCTCTTGGTAATATCTGGGCTCCCCAGGTCAGTCAAAAGAACATGGAAAACAAGATAATGGGTGGACACTGGAGTTGTTATTAATTTCATGGATCCCACTGCATTACTGGAGCTACCTTCCAAATGGACAAACTGAGCAAGTCTTAAAGAGAAAAGGAGGGAGATCAGGAGAGCAAGAACTAAAGCAAGAGAGAGAAAGAGTCTGAGAGACCTCCCCTCTGAACCAGTTCACAGCCTCCCCTGGTTCCAGCCATCTGCCAACACCATCCTGTAACTTCTCCCGTCCATCATGGAGCCCTGGGTGCTTGCAATGCGACCTCCCCCTTCCCTCAGGTAGGTTGCATCGGAGGCCTCTCTCTTTGCTTGTGATGCTCCAACAGAAATACTCAAGGATCTCAGCCTTTCTACAATATGTTGGCACTTTGGTTCCTCCCTGATTTAAAGCCCCAGAAGTTCAGACAAACCCCACAAATTGCCTGGATCCAAAGTAACAATCATAGGGAGAAAAGGAAAACATGGTTAGACAAGCAGAATGTTTGTTATCACAGCACGGCTTTATTGAATAAATAACACACTAAATACAGGGCTGTCCTTTTACTTGATTTAAAGCCTAGAGCAGCTTACAACTCTAAACTCCAGTGCTGAAAGAGAGAGCTGGGCTCGCTCCCCACATTCAAACCAAATCCCCTATAACACAGGGAAAGGAGGAAGCAAGGGGCACGTTGGTCGGAACAACACTGTGAACTGTCAGGGACAACAGCTGTGACTGCAGTCATTTCAAAGCTACCACTCAGCCTGAAACCGTGGCACCCCATCATCCACTGCTGGAGACTCAGCTATACACTGTGATCACCTGAGAAGCTGTAGAGATACTCTCAACTGGTCTTGCTACCAAATAACCTGATGTAATAATTTGAGGTGAAGCCAAGACCATGAGATTTTTTTAAAGCCCTCCAGATAATTCTAATTAGCATCTGAAGTTGGGTACTGCTGGCCCACCGGGAATTCTCATGTGATCCCATGCCTTTGGTGAATGGTTCCCATGAGATTACCTCTAGGTATACAGGCCTGGGGAAGAGTTGGATGGGTCCAGGTCAAAACAGAACTTTGACAGTGTAGCACAGGCATAGGCCGCCTAATGTTATGTGGATGCTGAGGTCAAACGGGATTTCTATGTGCAAGTCATGCTACCAAACATATGGACAAAATTTTAAGTAGGAAGATTGTCAGTGCACCGGTCATGTCAGTTAACCTTCTGGATATATGGCATCCTGCAATGGCCTCCCTAAATGGAAACACACACACATCCCATACTCTGTGTCCTCAAAGGAGGCTAAGTACAGGATATGAACTTTTGCTGCACGTGGTAGTAGACGGAGTGGTTAGAATCACCAGGCTCTGTGGCTGGACTGCCTCAGTTCGAATCATACCTGAGTAAGTCAATGAACCTCTCCAGACCTAACCTTCCTGGCCTTAAAATATGACTATAAAAAAGCCTTTACTTCCTAGGGTTGTCAAATAAGTAAATATATGTAAAGGAGGTAGAACGGTGCCTAGCACATGGTAAGAGCTTAGTAAGTGTAGGGTACTAAGATTGTGTGCCGGAGGTAGTGGCATACACCAGTAATCCCAGCAGCTCGAGAGGCTGAGGCAGGAAAAGCACAAGTTCAAAGCTAGCCTCAGCAATTTATCGAGACCCTAAACAACTTACTGAGACCCTGTCTCAAAATTAAAAAATAAAAAGGGCTGGAGATGCGGCCCAGTGGTTAGGCACCCTGGGGTCAAATCCCTGGTAAGAAAAAAAAAAAAAACAAGACTGTGTGTGTGATCTGCCCTGGGTGATTAGGCAATTATCATCCTCAGGACCATGAAGGAGCCTTAGGAGACCACTTGAGTATGTGGATGAAAGGTAAAGGGGACCTCACTGAATGCACAAGAAGCACAGGGCTGCTGGGTTACCCTGAGTCTAGTTGCACTAGATCCTTCTTTAAAGATGGCCACCAACATGCCCAAACCAAAATCATTCTTTTTGGCAGACATCATCTAATTTTTAATTGGATCACATGTTAACAACTCTATGATGTGACAACTCACCTGTTAACTAGGGATACATTTTCCAACAAGATTACATTCAAGTATCCACCAGTAAACTAAATTGGTTAAATTTAAATATTATAGGAATGCTTTATTAAGATTTTCTAATGTTCGCTGAATGCAAATACCAGCTATTAAAATTTTCCTGGCTAAAATTATTAGGGCCAGAGGCTGTCCAGTAGACCATGTATAGGAACGTACCGATAATTGAATTCTGAAGAAAATATTAGCTCAGCCCACATCCCTGGAGAGTGGGGATGGCCTTCTATAATTAAGACATATCTTTTGACTGGATTCTGCAACTGAAAAAGAGTGTCAGTCCTCTCTTCTGCTAGCTGATGTGTCAGGGTCTATGGATCTGTCCTTATTGGACAACAGAGAATGGCTACACTCACATTTTTGCCCAAGAATATATCTCATTAACGTTTGTGCTTCTAAATGGTTACCAAACGTCAGTTAAGGAAATCAATACTCATAAATTAATTTACTTCAAAGATTTTCTGTTCATCCTCCTAATGTTCTGAACATAATTCTTAGCAAACCAGAGACCTTATTGCTGCCAACCCGGGCAAGTTCTAGCAAGTTGTATTTTTATGGTATATAATGTTTAGGCATGTAATAACTACAAAACAGTCAAAGAAGAAGAAACCGTTAGAGGAGCAGACCAGGGTGAATGCATTCTTGCACTGAAACTGACAGCAGATTGCTGGTTCTCAATGACCTTTCGTTTTTGTTCTTCAAACTGGAATAATGATAAAGTGGAAGTATTCAAAAGCCCACAACTGACCCCACATGAATGTCCAGCTCTCTCAAAAGAAGGGCCACACTTGTCAGAGAGAACCCCTACAGGAGACTCCAAGAGACAGTAGAGTACCATGGATATGTTCTCACAAGACAGTAATTGTCGGTCTAAACTGGGCTTTGGTTTCGGTAATGCATTAGAAAAGTTAGTCCCAGCTTACAAAGCAACCACCAGAAAACAGGTCCAATTTATTGTTGTAAACAGGGGCTTTATTGGCTAATGAACCTGGGAAGTCCAGCTGCAGGTTCTTTTCCAGAAAAAAAAACTGATTTAGAGACTCGATATAGTCAATTCTGCATCATTCTGTCAGCCTCTCCACTCTTAAAGTCCCAACATGGCTTCTTTCTTCATTGTCTCCACGTGGTAACCAAGAGGACTGCTAGAGGTCCAGGCTCACACCCTCTTTAGCTTGGAATTCCAGAAAGATGTTGCCTCCTGAAGTCCATAACGCATTCCTTGGAAGGACTAATTTGTCCTGTTTGGAACACAGAAACAACCAAAAACAACCCCTCCCTAGGGAGGTGAGTCATGGATACCCTGATAGGACAGCTTGGGTCACAAGCCCACTCTGGATACGTTGGTGGAGGCACTCACAGCTCCACACATGGAGTGGGAAAAGAATTTCCCAGAAAAATCATAAAATCAAGAAAACATTGTAAGCAGATAAAACTATTGTTACCTAAGTCCTAGGCAATAATAACTGAAATAACTATACCCGTGTATCCCATTTGTCCCAGGGGAGAAGCCAGGCTTTCTCTGCCACGGCAATTTCAGCTGCCTTTCCCGGGTACTTTGAGAAAGTGGAGGCAATGCACAGTATTGATGGGTTTTCCACATCAGGAGACCTAGATCCATGATATAGTGATGAGCATTCTGCAAACCTCCGCTAAAGTCCTAGCTCCGAGATGGAAGAGCCCTGTGAACGCGGGCAAGTACCTCCTACTTTCTGGGGGACCCTGGGTGGGAATTCCCGTCTCAGAGATGTACCTGCCCTGCGACTTTTTAAAAATTCCCTTCTCCTTTCTGTGGGTATCAATCTTCTCATCCATTTGAGGGTAAGAGATGATTTCTGAAATCCGTTCACTTAAAAAGTAAATATGCAAACAAAAAAAAAACATCTACAATCGTGATTCATCTGGACAAAGCTCCCCAGCGTGGTTCACGAGCCCCCAGGCCAGAAAATTCAATTCTGTCCTCTGGTGCTGAGGAAGATAGAGCAGAAAAGCAAAGGTTGATGTTCACAGAGCAGACCTTCGGCACGCATGGGGGGCAAAGGTCCCTAGCGACAGACGGGGGGACCATGAGGTGTGATCACCAGGACTACATTCGGGACTCACGGCCACAGCTGGGGCTTGACAAACACCTCCCCGTGAGCTTCATATGTCAGTGCTTTCCAGTCCAGGACATTAGGACTGAAGGTCCCACCAATGTACACCATGTTGATCTCATCTGGAGTCAACACGAAATCCCACATGTTCACATCTCCAAGGTCTCCCACCAAAGCCTGGTTTGCCTCAAAGCCTCCGCCAAATGAATCTTGATCCTGTCCCAGGACGATGCTTGCCTCTGTCCCCACAGAGTAGCCCTTATTCAGACTCTTCCTCACCATGGGCTTCCCGTCTACCCAGAGCTCTGCGATCCCTGTGATGGACTCCCAGCTGGTACAGATGTGTACGGGAGCCATAGTAACTTTGGGAGCCTTGAAAAATATTTCAGACCCACCCACGGAAAGAAGATATCCTCTACTGAACGACCAAAATATGAGGATATCATTAAATTGTTTCTTGGTAGCGTAAGAGAAAATACTGTAATCCCGGGTCAGGGCCAGTTCGGTGTAGATGTGGAAGCACACGGTGAAGGCTTTCAGTGGCTCCTTTAACTGGGCTTTCAGGGATACATAGGAATCATCCGACACTTTGGGAAACACAAAGGCCTTCCTAGACATGTCTGTGAGACAGAAAACCAATCAGAGATGAGAAGTTTCTCAGATCACCAAGATCTGTCCCTCTTTTACAAATGCAGCTTGGGATCAACAAGCAAACCCACCATTTCCCCAGCTCTCCTCTCCCCAGCAGCCCCTGCCCTCTCTTGCATACGGAATGTTCCTCTGAATTCCGTTTGTATAATCTGAGGCCCCACCCCATCCCTACCCCTCCCATCACATCTCTGACATCCTCTGTGGAACCTCCTACCTTTCTGGCCAAAAGCCTTAGAGGAGCCGATCAACACCAGGACACACCATAACAGCTTCTCCACGGTCATTCCCTGCTGCCGATGCTTCTAGGATCTGGATTCATCCCCCTGGAAAAAGTGTTTGTCTGAAAGCTCAGGAACTAGAAGTCCTAGGTTCCTCGCCTCAGGCCTGCTCTATCCCACCTGGATTTATATCCTTAGCAGAACAGGATTCTGTGCCACTTTTGTAAATGATTTTCTAACACTGCCTCTGGGACAAGTGTCAGGGCTGTGGGAGGAAGGGAAGCCAGATCATTCCGGAACAGAGAAATCAATGTGGGTTATTTATTACAAACTCCTGTGACTCGTGAATCGCCAATTCTTGGTGACAGGGAAAAAAAACGAAGAAGCTTCTCAAGGTTCCACTGTGGCGATCCTGAGAAAATAATGGAAACTTTTAACTTAAGAGACAGGTGGCCATCTGTGTGCACACGATCGTTGCTTCTCCAACGCCTACTTCAGCCCAAGTCATGGCGTCCGATGGAGGGGAAACTGACAGCCAGTGGAGATGGATGACATCACCAACCCTTTTCAAAATCTGCCCACTTACAGACTGGGGAAGAGGAAAGCAAACATGCCATTCCTGGAGCCAAGAGCAAACATTTCTTGGTCAACTGACTGTACTTATTAAGAGATCTCTGGTCAGGTGAGACATGTGTCTGATCCCAAATGTACCACAGTGTCAGAGCTTCTTTACCAGATTATTCTCTGCATATATAAACCTTCAGGGAGAAGTCAGGATGATCCACAGTGGTCTCCATGGCTGAAGTAATTCAAGTTGGCCTTCCACACTGCCTGGCAGTCTTGCTACAGTTCCTTACTTAACTCACACTTCCAAATGACTATTTTTCTCCTTCCCCTTGTTCCTGCAATCCCCCAAATTTCATTCATTTTTTTTCACTCCACTCATGAGCTCACCCCTTCATTGAAAAATCAAAAGCAATCAGAAAAAGAACACTATATCCTTTGTAGCAGAGGCTCCGGGCCATTCCCCAGGATCCATTCTCCACTTCTTTTTAAGAATAGCATTTGTGGGGCTGGGGTTATGGCTCAGCGGTAGAGCACTCACCTGGCACATGCAAGGTCCTGGGTTCGATCCTCAGCACCACATAAAAATAAATAAATAAATAGTTGGGCACACGGTCACCCAGATAAGCGCTAAATGTCCCAACCTCCTTCACATCTAGGAGTAATTAAGTCTTTAAGTGCCAGTGTATGAGCTGGGAGCAGAATAGGAACCATATCTAGGTTGGGCCCTTAAGGAGAAGATATGTGTGTTCCCTTTCACTTCCCCCTTTCCCTTTGGTGAGGATTCAGACATGAGAGCAGGAGATGGATCAGTCAGTCACCTTAAGATGAAAAAATATAAGCTGCATATTGGGCTTGGCACAGCAACAAGATAATTTATTTTGGGGGCCACTGTATTAGTCCTAGACTGCCTACCTGAACATTTACATCAAGGGAAAATAGTCTTATCTTTCACAAAATCACTATTAATTTAGTTTTTCTGATACTGAATCCTACCTGATATCATCACACAAATTTCTACCACAAAATCTACCAGCCTTTCTTTCTCTCTCCTATTACAAGAGACGAGCCATCCCTGTGGATATCTAAGGTCAACCTTGCCCTTCAGCAATGCCACCCAGAGCTTCTCCACCACGCAGGGAATTCTGCACCTGGACATATCCTTAGTATCTTATGTATAGATCATTAATTTCTTCATTTTTACTCAATCATTCCCCAAAAAAAAACAATACTGCAATGTAGCTGATATGTTAGAGAAGGAAGGAAGGGGGAGAGGGAAGAAAGGAAAGGGAAAAAAGAAGAAAGAAAGAAAGAATAAAAAAGAAAGAAGGAAAGAGGAAAAGATTATGTGTAGTTACAACTTCCATTTTCCCATTTGTTGATCCACCTTCGACCTATGAAAATCAGACTTTGGTTTCCACCAGTGAAACCCACACATACAAACCCCTCTCTCTTTCTTTTTTTATTATTTAATAATGGATTTTCTGTTCTTATCTTACCCTACTCCTCACTATATTCAGCAAAGTTCATCTCTCTCTCTCTCTCTCTCTCTCTCTCTCTCTCTCTCTCTCTCAAATAACTACATGTTAATTCAAAAAGTAAAATAATTTTAAGGCCTTGTGCCTAAAAGAAGTGGTTTTCTGTACGACCACTGTCCATCCTTGTCTCCCAAGCAGAGCTGAGACACTGAGTCTCTCCGGGTCTAATCTCACCTGCCTCCAGCTTTACCTCAGATCTTCTGAAGTCTATTCAGCATTTTACATGTTCCAGTTTGCTTTAGGATACTTACATTTCAATGAATTTGGCAAATGGGAACACCTCTTTAACAATGCCCTGAATCCAGGACAAAGTGTGTCCAAACTTACCTCCCTTGTCCTGAAAGACACTAGCATCCTTGCTACCAGAATCCTCCCAGAGAAGCTCAGGTCTTTGTGGAAAGGGCAACCTTTAAACGGAGCCACAAAAATGGAAGTGAGAGATTCAAGACTGAGAGAATAACATGAATGATGGTCACGACCAAATTTTGTTTGCATATATAAACTCCAAAAACATTGACTTGAACCTTTACAACCATGATAGTCCATTTTAATGAACAAATGTTCTTTCAGTCGAAAAGTTTACTGATTTGCAAGTCAAAACTCCAAGGTCTCCTTAGTCTGCAGATTGGACCAATTCATTCTTTTATTCACCTTCTCTCCTAACTAACTCAAGAGTGTAACTTTCACTTGGTGTTTCCTACTACCAAGCACTGTTAGAATTTCTATTCTGTTTTATCAGCAAAACGGTTACCTTGGTACTCATGATGTATTACTTACTCTCTATCTCTGTTCCTGTTAGTTATGGAAAATTAACAAAATAATCTATGGAAATATTGGACCTAAGGTCATTCACAGAAAGCAAGTAAGACTTTGAAGGTTTCTTAAACCATGAGCACATAGTCAGGTCTGTGACCTGTTTATTGGCAGAAGGATGAAGGATGTATTGAACTAAGAGAGGTTACAAATGGGGAGACCACTTGATGAGTCTTAGTTCACTAATTCAACGGAGCCGAATGTTGGAAGCATTTTACTAGGGATCAGGCACTAAGCCGTTAATGTGACTAGTTATGTTAACGGTAACAGAGATTAGGGAAGAGGGAGGAAAAGAGGAAGTACTGGATGGCTCTATGATGAGTTGGTTTCAGGTATCTGGAGTTCAAACACTACCACGTGACCCGAGGTAAGCCTCTAGGAAAGATGATTCCAAAGACTGGACAATGGGGAAGGGCGGGAAGGGAAGGGGAATAACCAAAGGAAAGACAGTGGAATGAACCTGTCGTAGTTTTCCCATGTACTTACGTGAAAACAGCACAGTGAATCCCACCACTAGGTGCCTCCATAAGAATGGGACTCTAAGGAGAGTAAGATACATTCCATGTGTGTATAATTATATCAAAATGGATTCTGCTGTCATCTATAACTAAAAAGAACCAATAAAAAGTGATAACTGAAATTACTAAATAATTGAGACTTTGGGGATTTATGAATAAATGGCTTTACTTTGTGAAGCTAAAAAAAAAAGGAAAAATGTGCACAGAGATGCAAATACAGCATCTTTATCTCTGTTAGAAAAATACCAGCAGAAATTCAAATTCCAGTTTGATTTATGGGCAATAATATTACCTTCTTAAAGGCCAACCAGCTGCCCTGCCTGGCATACAGTTAGTGCCCAGTAGGACGACTAGATGAAGGAATAACTGAAGGAACAAAGGGAGAGATGACAGGGAGAAAAATCCAGAAGATAAATTTAATCAATAGTGGAGTGAACACTAACGCCGATACCTTCTTCCCACCTCAATTCCTGCAAATGACAAGAAACATATTTTTAAAAAGGAGATCGATGTAGTGCCAGAAAAAGAGTTCCAGCAATGAAAGGAGATATGAAGAATTTTGGAAAGCCAGAAAGCATTGAAATTTTACATCACAGAAGACAACATAACCCAAAGCATAAGCAGAAAAAAGGGCTGCCATAAAAATTTATCCTGGTGTGCACCAAAATAAAGGAAATGAGGGATAGAACCCAGAGTCGTAGCCCTGATGACGGAGTGTCGGTGGCCATCCCCTGCCCTCTTTAAGCAAGCAGTAAGCAACAGGCATCTTTGCTCTCAGCTTAGAGCAATAAGTCCTTTGGCCCAGCAGGTAGGACATTGCCCAGGAGGCTGCAGACACCCAGGAAGAAATCCTATGTTCTCAAACCTGGGAGAAAAATTTACTGGTATGCCTGCTCGTACATCTTGCTCTTTCTTCATAATTCCTGGAAATGAACCACAGAAAACAGTAAGAGCATCCATAGGCAAGTTGAAAAAGAATTCGTGCCATGAGAAAAGGGCACTCCCCTTAAAAATTTAGGTGCAGCTGTCTTAGAAACAGAATCTAAAAGCAAAGGGGAAATGTTTTTATTGAGAAGTAGAATTAAGAGACTCAGAGTATAGGAAGCCTAAATGATAATAAATAAAAGACAAAAATTACAGGAATTAAAACTAAAACAGGGATTTCAGAGAAAGAAATATTTATATTGGAGGAAGGAAAATAATCTAAGAATAATAGTAAAAATTCCCAGAGTGGATGATGAAAGTAGTCAGGTCAAAAGGGCAAGAAAGTATCCAGCGGGGTGTATTTAAAAAAAAAAAAGTCTAAACTGTGACAAGGAATTTGATAACCAGGAAAAGGAGCAATATCAGAAAAATTTCCACACAGTATGTTTATGTGTCCCAGAAAGGAATAAGGATGAATAAATACACCATAAAAAATAATAAATATTTGAGGGACAGGATATGTTAATTAGCCTGATTTAATCATTGCGTAATATGTTTACCCTGTAAACATATACAATTATCATTGAATCAATGCATGTTAGACGATTGTCAAGAAAATGAGAATTAAAAAGAGGAAAAAAGAGAGAAAGCTATTTGACTTCTGTTAAGTACCTGATAATAAGTTTACATAAAACCCAAACAAAAATAATGCAAGAAAAGAGAATGAGGAATCAATTCATCTGTGAATCTCTTCTATGCAAAAAGTATAATCAGGTCAAAATCAATCTACACACAAGAAAGTTGGAAACATCACAACTCAATAGAGCTGGCTAGCAAACAAAAGCAAAGGGCCAGGTAATGCTCAAACCTGGTCGAATCGACATTTACTGGGCACCTGCACAGCAGGAAACCTTCATACTCTAGGGCAGGGCTCAGAGACCTGACAGGGCTGAGGAACAGACTCCAGGAGAGGAATCTCTCACCTGGAAATATGAGACTGCAAGATTAAAGATATGCTGACTTCTCCCCTGGTGTGATCTGAGTCCTGATACAAGAACAATATGGTATGACAACTTAGCATTGATGGCATCATGAATGCCATGGTGGGCATCAACAGTTCCCTGGTGCAGTGGGCTACTTAAACATTCATAGCAGGAGGCAAGCAGTCCCCTGACATGACTCAAGAGTAGGTGTCCAAGCCTTACCATTGACAAGGATTGATTTTTGGAGTGGTTTCCATGGGGACTAGCAGTGGGTAGTAGGTAGCCAGTTACAGAGAGTTCTCTTGGACAAGGTAAAATAATTAACACCTATGAAAGGTTTTCCTTATAGGTTTTCCTAATTTTGAGCATGGTAGCTCAAAATTAGGAAAACCTATAAATGTAATTTATGGCATTTTGACAGACTTAAATAGCAGCATCACAAGATCATTCCAGTAGATGATTTTAAAATCATCATCTATTTAAGATTTTTTTGTATTTTTAAAAATTCATCACCTAGCTTCCCTAAATTAAAAGTTAAAAGAGTTTCTACTAAAAACCCACCACAAATATCATTCTTAAAAATGAAATTTATAAACTTCCCTTTAGAGACAGGAGCATAACAAGATACCTGCTATCTACCTACTGCATTGTGGAATTCAATGCAATAAAAAAGTGATCTGATGCTCAGAACAGATCAAAAATATATAACAATGTATGCATCTGATGATCTGTATTTTAAAATTCTAGAAAATCTATACACAAACTATTAGGATCAACAGAAGTTCAACTCATCAAAGAACTATAAAACATAATAAAAATGTGCCTTTCCCATGAAAGAGATCCGTTAGAAAATACAACATAAACTATCCCAATCATGATATTGAAAAAACTAATAAAGCATCTGGCAACACTGTTATTTAAAAAGTATAAGACATCAAAATGAATAGAGAACTATGCCACATGCATTGAGTAACCTAGTATCATGATGATGTTGATGCTCTCCAAATTAATGTATATATTACATTAAACATTTTCACACATAATCCAACCATTTATCTTTAAAAATATAACTTACTGGGGTTGTGGCTCAGTGGTAGAGCCTAACACAGGTGAGGCACTGGGTTCAATCCTCAGCACCACATAAAGATAAATAAATAAAGGTATTGTGTCCATCTGCAACTATATAAATATGTGTGTATGTGTATTTTTTGTTTGTTTGTTTGTTTGTTTGTTTTAAAAACCCTCAGAGACACATACAAGGAAATTCTCTGAAGCACTGTTTGTTCTTGGGAG